TATCTACTTTTTCCAAGATTGTAAGTCATGGAAAAGCATTTTGCGTTGTCATATTGAGTGCGTTCAGACAACTCAACGGTTGAGAGATCATCACGTATGATAGGACTATTCTTCAAAATCTGCTGCGGTTCCAAAAGTATGATCCAATCAGAAGGGATTATCTCTCACCCGTGGTGCAACTGTTGAGTTGTCTGAACGCACCCATTGTCATACGCTACAAGCACGCAACGAAACATTGCTTTCTAGCCTCAGTGTCTCGCGTTACGGGTGGAAGCAAGGCAGAACATAGTATGTCTGCGCTNTTTCACGAGCCGAACAGCCGAGCGTGACGTCACGCACACGGACGGCGGTTCTCGCTGTATGCGTGCCCCCACCACCTTGGTGCTCTTGGTGCTGGCCGGCCCGATCTAGCAACACTGGTTTGGAGCCCCCCGGTCGCGGAGGAAAAAACCTGCCCGCAGCCGATGGGAAGTCCCTCTCTAATGAACTCTCTCTCCTCTTTTGCTTTTCTTTTCTCGCCACCCCCGCTGACAGCTGCGCTGACCGCGCAAAGGTGGTAAAAATACCACCAACAGCTGCAGCAGGGGGATGGCAACTGGGGCCCCCCAACACATGCCGGGACGGGCGCCTCAGATTCCCGCAGAGCGAGCACTTCGGCTCCAGGGCAGTGCACTGCCGGAACCGATGCCCGCTCAAGCCGCAGCGGTAGCAACGACCGCTGCGATCTGGCTTCCTTATGGGGCAGAAATGCCCCGTGTGCCCCGGGCGCAAGCACCGGAAACACCGCATGGGGCGAACCCTGAGCGCCTCAACGCACACAAGGACCCACCTTTACGCTGCGGGCTGCTGCCAAACTTTTGGCAGCAGCCACGGGGCACTGCATCCACACTCTTCTAAGGCCGGAAGGCAGCGTTCGGATCATTCCCAGACGGAAGTCTGCCTCCTGGCACCCTCAGCCGAGGCCAGGGCCGACACCAATTCCTCCGCGGAAACGGAGTCGTCAAAGCCCGAAACGCGCAAGTTTCCCCTGCGCGCCGGGCGTCTGACGACGACCCTCGTTTTGCGGAGGACCTCTCTCATGCGGGCCGCTAAGGTGTCCGCCTTCTTATCCTTTGAATCATCGGTGACTTCAATCATGAGGCCACCGGTCATCGTTCTCCGTGGCTGCACGTGGACGATTCTCATCGAATCTAGTGGGATTGCCTCACGGCACCTGCGCATAGTCTCCCCCATATCCAGCGCTCCGGCATGTGCCGGGTTAGTCGACAGCGTAATTGCTGCCGACTTCGGCACCCGGAGCGTGAAACGCTTCTTTTTTTCGTATCCTGCCGTCTGCGACGCCGGGGCAGAAGGCCTCGACGCCGCGCCGGTCACGGAGACGGGCACGCCACCTTTCAACTAGAGACCGGAAGCGGCCAAGGCCGCTGACCCGGCCGCCCGTCGGGCTTTACGGTCCACAATCTGACTCGGGCGGGTTCCGTTTGACCACAGTACGA